CTGTCCCACGATACTCTCTTGATTTGCATGTATTTGTGCAAAAAGAATTTGAAAATCTAATCGCCCCTTTGGCCAGATGCAGTGTCATTAGAATTCACTGGCTGGGAATTCCCCTACTTTCATCAAACAATTGCTGAGTAAATATTAAATCAGTTTGGCCTTTTTGATGTTCTCAGACGCCAAGGAAACCTTAATATTTTAAGTGTGTTTCCCGTGATGAAAATTTCTCCTGCGCGGTTTTAGAAAAATCACTAAAATTACCATTGCTTTTGCTGATCCTTTCACACTTGCCAAAACAAATATTTTCAAAGAAAGGCTCTATTTTATCATTAACATTTTCAGCTTGATGTAGGGAAGGTAAATAGTACCTCTCGAGGGCAGTCATCTACCAAATGATGCCAGCAGATGAGATTTTTTTCAGACTTAAAAATCTCAACAAACTTAGGATGTGGGCAAAGGGAGGTAGAAGACAGAGGCAAGAATCTGATGGATCTGTTTTCTTTGCATTTTCTCATTTCCTTGTTTGCTGTATTGCGCAAACCCTATTGAATATCAAGATTTGGCTTCTTATGAATGATACCTAATAGAGAAGCATGTTAACTTTTTCAAGTCCATAAATTCCTTTTAAATGTTCACAGAATTTTACAATTTAATGAAAAAGTACTTAAAAACATAACTTGTATAATTGTATTATTAAATTATTCTTAATTATTACTAAAGGAATTTAGTGGTACTGAATACAAAATACTTAGGATTTACTGTTTGGATTTTTAAGCTACATTTACTAAATTTATGAGCTGAAAGAAATCTTAGCAATTATCTAGTGTAATTTTCTATGTCTACATTTCTGTTTAATTTTCTTCAAAGAAAACCAGTGTTTGTTTGTTTGTTTTTATGTTAAAGAAAATGATAAATTTTTTCCAGAAACAATAGATGTTAACTTTTTTAAAAAAGAAAAGAAAATTAAGGAAAAAGGGAACTTAAGGGCATGGCATAAAATAGGAAAGACATTACAGGCCATAAAATAATTTCTAATGGAAAGAAGACAGATGGGGGAGGGGCGGCGTGGAGGGGGTCAATGGGAAAAATACTTGTAAAAAATTGTAATACTTTCAACAATAAAAATAAATTTTATAAAAAGATCTTCAAAATTAAAAAAACAAGAAAACCCTAAAAAAGAAAATTAAAGAAAGAAGGCATATGGCCCGCAGTGATGGTGAACCTTTTGAGCTTGGCATGTCAGCATTTTGAAAAACCCTAACTTAACTCTGGTGCCGTGTCACATATAGAAATTCTTTTTATACTTGCAACCATAATAAAACAAAGACTTATATTTTTGATATTTATTTTATATACTTAAATGCCATTTGACAAAGAAAAATCAACCAAAAAAATGAGTTCGCGTGTCACCTCTGACATGAATGTTATAGGTTCGCCATCACTGCATATGGGTCTGTTAGATTACCTTTTGGTTTTCCCTGATTTTCTGAGTATTTTGTGAGATGGCCAGTTTTATACAGCATAGAGTCAAGTAAAAGCAGAGCTGAAGTAATTTGCAAAATTGAGAGATGGGTGTGTCCACAAGTCCCCTGATCCTGGTTCCAGCCTGTCTAATAGCTGGGTATGCTTTGATGGAGATTATAATTCACCGAAGGCAACAAGTGAGAAACAAGGAGAAAACAGGTAAGAGCTCTATGGTAGGAGGGATTATGGCTATTGCCTCCACTTATTTTTTAATTCTTCATTTGAGTGTGTGTGTGTGTGTGTGTGTGTGTGTGTGTGTGTGTGTGTGGCAACTAGTAGAAATAAAATCACTTACTTGGAAGTGATTTTAAATGCTATATTATCATAAATCCAATCTCCAACATCCTCCATATGGAATCATACAGTGACGGAGAAGTGACTTCTTTTGTGAGACAGTCTATTTCCTTTTTGTAAACACCAGCCATTGTTCCTAATACTGCTGTCCAGTCTTAACCTCAAAATAAATTCCTTATCTTTTCCTATCCATCTCCCATAACAAAACAGCAAACCCTCCTTCCCAACATTGTTACATCGGTTAATGATATAACCATTTTGTCAAACTCAAAAACTGTCTTCCCTTACATCTGAAGTTCCCATCAGTTACCAAGCTATACTGATTCCAGTTTTTAATCTGTAACTTCTATCCCTACCATAGAGCTTATACGTGCCATCATTTCTGCTGCATACTTCTTACTCATCACAGAGGCCAACCTAATACAATGTGGGGAAGTTTTACAAGGCCAGGAATGTCAGGAGGGCACATTTCGGACCATCTTGGATGCTGCCTACTACACAATGTGACAGTAAAGAGGACCACTGACAATGTTGGGATCCCTAAAGAAGAGGGTTCTTTCCTGATAGGTCTAGCAGGAAAGATATGACCTAATTGGCTCCGTTTAGATCGTATGCCCATCCATGAACCAGTAAGTATGACCAGAGGAATGGGCTGCTTTATTGAGCAGATCAGGGCCAGGTGCCTCGCTGTGGTTCTTGAGGGCGATCATGTCATGTCTACCTGAACCAGTGAATCAGAAAGGAGAGAATGCTGAGCAGAAAAATTACATATGTCCTCTGTTCTACCTTGCACTTTGACTGCTTTATTAGTCCTCTAAATGTCCTTATCCTGTCTCTTTGCCTTCCTTTTCAAATGGCAGATGCTAACAAATTAATCTTCCTAAAGCTCAACTTGGATTAAGACTTTTCTTTGATCAAAATCTTGCCCAAATAACCTTTCACTGCTTACAAAATAAGTCCTTTAACCTAGGCCTTCACTCATTTCCACAATCTGATCCTAAACTCCTTTCCTAATCTAATTTACAATTTTTCACCTCCCTGACAAACCAATTTACTCACTGTTCTTCCAAAATGGCTTTGGTTCCATGGCCTGTTTCACACAGTTTACACTCTTTATTCTCCAAGAATGTGTTTTCTTTCTTCTTTTGTTATTTAAACTACAATTTATTTTCATATAACTTTCTATAGTCATCCCAGCCCAAAGGAAATCTCACCTCTCTCATGATAATATTTTTATTGTATCATTCTTTGACAAGTATGATGTACTGTTTTATTCTATGAAGAATTCATATTTCAATAAATTACACATATTATCTACTTGTATTGACTTACCCAGATTGCAAACTTCTTTATTTCTTTTATTCCTCACCCAAGGTTATGTTTATTGATTTTTTTTTAGAGAGAGAGAAAAGGAGAGAGACAGAGAAACATCAATGTGAGAGAGAAACATTGATCAGTTGCCTCCCATACATGCCCTAACCAGGGGTTGAACCTGCAACCTAGGTATGTGCCCTAACTGGAAATCAAGCATGCAACCTTTCGATGTACTGGACAATGCCCCGACCAACGGAGCCATCCAGCGAGGCAGACTGCAAACTTCTTAAAGGCAAAGATTATGGCTTGTATTTCTTTTCATCCCAAGTAAAACTTAGCTTGCAATTAATAAACATTTATTCATTTGATTTTGATTGTACACCTTTGGGTAATTTATAGATATAAATGTCTTTAATCCAGTTTAGAAATTCTACTTTTTGACCAATGTGCACATTAATGGAAATCGTCCAGTATCCACTGACTCTAACCACTATACCGTGACACTCATATATATATATATTTTAAATTTCTTCAACACACCAGCTTTAACCAAAGCCCACAGTAGAGGAAGGGCTGTTCAGTAATTAGAAAGGTACTCCAGTTCTAAAAAGATACCTACAACAATTAGATTCACCACTTACTGCTTGATCACTTTTAAATGAGCCTTTTGTACCCAAATACAGTCGATGCAGATTGCTTCTAAGAATCCATTTCTGAAACAATTTGGCTGTTTATGTCTTTGGCCAGAATTACTTGAAATTTGGCTTACAGTCTCTACTTTGGTTTCCTCGTAGAAATGTGTGCCCATAGTATTTCTGCCTGCAAAGATGTCTCGCCAAAAGGAAACCCTCACGACTCCATGAAGGAACGAGCGCTCTCCCAGGAAGACTTGGCGTGTAGTCTAAATGAAATGAACGTACCCATCAACGCATCCTCACCAAGTATCTACTAAAACACTGTTCTGGATAAAGGCACTGTCTACTCTAGATAAACACTGTGGTATGTGTTACAGATATACAAAATCATCAAAAGGATACCTCGAAAGATTAGCATTACAAAACAGTATCCTTCTATGTCAATAAGAAGGATAATAAGTGTAATGCATAATTAGAGAAGAGGGAGTTTTGTGTGGGCTGGGAGAACTCAAGAAAATTTTCATAAAGGATAGGGATCTAACCAGTGGATCACTTACTAGAGGTGGATCATTTAGTAGAGTCCCACCAGGAGAGAGGACTACAGATGACATATTCTCGGCCAATAGGATGTAAGAAGAGAGCTTACATGGGGTCATAAGTAAAAAAGCTAGGTAATTTGGAAATACTGTACACTAGAGAAAAGTTTTAATAGTCTGTGTTGTATCCTATAGACAATGGAAATTTTTGAAAGTTTTAGAGCATCTGCAAAATAGTATTTTAATATAAAAATGAGAAATAACCAAATCACTAAAATAATTTTTGGGAAAAAAAGATAGACAATAAAAACAGTCATTTTTAATAAAAATCACAGATAGCTTAGAAAAGAATTAATAAAGCTCCATGTCAGCATTATGAGGAGGAAGCACAGAATTCAAACATTCTAGTGGTTGGACCATAAAAAGTTGGACCATAATATTACATCACTGAGATAACTCAGCACTTTGATTCACAGTCAGTGCTTTTCCCTGATTATAAAACAATCCATATTCATTGTTTAGCAAAATGTCTTAGAAATTTTAACTATGTAAAATATAACTGGAAACTTAGTAAGAAAATTATAAGCAAGAATTTAAAAGCTGTTGTGATTTAAAAGGAATATATATATATATATATATGTATTTGGGCCCCCCGCCCCACCCGGCCGACAAAGCGCGCAGCTGGGCTACAGGGCCAAGCAAGGTTATGTCACATAACGGATTCGTGTGCGCCCTGGTGGCCACAAGCGCCCTGTTCCTAAGGCTGCCACCTACGGCCAGCCTGTCCATGAGTGTTAACCAGCTGAAGTTTGCGCGAAGTCTTCAGTCTGTTGCCGAGGAGCGAGCTGGACGCCACTATGGGGCTCTGAGAGTCCTGAATTCATACTGGGTCGGTGAAGATTCCACGTACAAATTCTTTGAGGTTATTCTCATTGGTCCATCCCATAAAGCTATCAGAAGAAATCCTGACACCCAGGGGATCACCAAACCAGTCCACAAGCGCAGGGAGATGGGAGGGCTGACATCCGCGGGCCGCAAGAGCCGTGGCCTTGGGAAGGGCCATAAGTTCCACCACATTATTGGTTCTCGCCATGCAGCCTGGAGAAGGCGAAATACTCTCCAGCTCCACCGTTACCCCTAATATAAGTAATGTTTGTAAAATCCTTACCTAATAAACAATTTCGGGCAGTCAAAAAAAAAAATTCAGATACTATTCTTAGTGAGAACTTTATTCAAAACCTACTTACTGATACTTTTGACAAGATTATATGAAACTTTTGATTAGTTTATCAGTTTATAACACTTTTGATGCAACAACTTAGAAGAGTTTTACTATTAGGTGCTAGCATATTAATAGCATCAGAAAGTTAAAGCTCATGTTGAGAGTAGAGACAAAAGAAAAAAATTTTTTAAAAAATTACACTTACCAGTAAGAGTAGTCCCCTTATGTATAGAAGCAAATAACTAATAGCTACTTGCATCTAAAATTTTTGTAATTATAACAAAGTAATTTACATTACTAATGACACTGAGTCATGAAGAAAACATAAAATTACATAGCATTTAATCTGTTTAAGCCTTAAGGCCTTGAGAGATTACTATCAAGAATAATTTTTTAATAATTTTGGGACTTTAAAAGGGAAATTTTCAATTTAAAGAATTCCATAATTATTTGAACGAAATTATCAACTCAGATAATAATTAACTTAATAAAGTTGTCTATTATAATAAAATTTTAAAAATTGGAAAAATATGAAAAATTGATGTAAATAATAAGATAAACAAAAGTTGCAATTATATTAAAAGTCAATATGATCCTAATTGTAAGCTGTAGAAACATCTGGAACACAGGGACACAAGCACATAAGTCACTATTTTTACAAATTTTTAACACTATTCTCAGCCAAAATGCCGTCATACTTATAAGTGCTTATTATTGAATCAAAATATCTTTCTAGTAAAAAATTAGAGCATAAGTTGGAATGCTATGAGTACAAAATAATTGAGGGATATTATCGAATCATTATACCTCTTAAGTACCATTACAGCTAGAAATCCAGGGTAGCAAAAGTCAAACAGGAAAAACAAGGATTTAAAAAGTTGGTCATAAGATGAGAAATGCCAACTGACTTATTTATGGTTCCCGTTTTATGTGCTGTGGCTCTGAACATTTACTGTTTCTTTCCCGCCTAGACTGTTCCTCCTTCAGTGGTTCCTCATTCTGGTATTCAACCTTTCCCAATGTAGCCCATTCACTCTGACCATGACCTCTTCCCCAGCCACAGGAAGGAAGGGAGAGAAGAGAGGGACTGAAACCTCAGTGATGAGAGAGAATCATCAGTTGGCCGCCTCCTGCATCCCCTACAGTGGGGAATGAGCCCCGAAACCCAGGCATGTGCCCCGACTGGGAATTGAACCATGACCTTCTGGTTCATAGGTCGACGCTCAACCACTGAGCCATACTGGCTGGGCCTTAAGTCATTTTAAATAGATTTTTATTACATTATAAAATATGTTTTAAAATATAGAATATTCATAATATAATAATAATGAAATGCACACTAGCAGACATCCAGCTTAAGAAGTAAAATATTCGTGTCAAAGGCTCCTAAGTGCCCTTCCTCATTATAGCTGGCTTTCCACTCTTTTTAATTTGTATCGCTTTTATTTTTGGATACTAATCATTTGCTTACACATAAAGAAAATACCTTTTTTACAAAATGACTAGTAATTTTTAGTCCCTCTATGGCAGCGGTTCTCAACCTGTGGGTTGCGACACCTTTGGGGGTCAAACGACCCTTTCACGGGGGTCGCCTAAGACCATCGGAAAACACATATATAATTACATATTGTTTTTGTGATGAATCACTATGCTTTCATTATGTTCAATTTGTAACAATGAAAATACATCCTGCATATCAGATATTTACATTATGATTCATAACAGTAGCAACATTACAGTTATGAAGTAGCAACGAAAATAATTTTATGGTTGGGGGTCACCACAACATGAGGAACTGTATTAAAGGGTCGCAGCATTAGGAAGGTTGAGAACCACTACTCTATGGTTTCTTTTAATTTTGAGTTTTAATTTTAGTATCAAATGGATAAATCTTTTCCTCTTTCAGTTCATATCCTTGCATGTGTATCTTATTTAATAGATCTATCTTGAAAATTACAAACATTTTGCCTCTGTTTTCTTATTTAAAGATATTTTTCCTATGTTTTCCAGCTTTCCTTCCATAGTCTTCCATTTTCCCTGTATTGATTTTTGTGGGTTAAGTACAATTTTTTCATAAAAATGATTTTTCATAAATTAAAATAACAATAGCTCTTCCTTCCCACTGCTCTGTCATTAACAAGCTTCTCTCTATGCATGCGTCACTTTTGAGGATCTCTATTCCCTTGGTCTGTTTGTCTAACCTTGAGCTTTACAATGTTCACAACCTTGATATCTGGAAGGCCAAATCATCTTATATTGTTGTTCTTCTCTGGAAATTCATGACTGTTCTTGACCTCTGGCTCTTTCATGTCAATTTTAGAATAAATGTGTCTATTTGCATAAAAAATCCTGTTGGGGCACCCTTTGGAATCACACTGAACTTATACATATATTTGGGGAGAATTGCATTTTCACAATACTGAGTCTTCAAGATTATGGGAGATCTTTATGTTCATTTGGATATCCTTTAATACTTTTACCATATGGTTTTTATTTTTCTCCATAAGCAGTTTGCATAGCTTCTATTGGGTATATTAAGTAGTTACTTGGTACTTTGGGTTGCTATGTTATCTTGGTATCTTTCCTAATTGCATTATTTAACTGCTTATTGCTGTTGTATAGATAAACTGACTTTTATATATTCACTAGTGACCCGGTGCATGAATTCATGCACATTGAAAGGAAATTAATTATAAGGTGGCCAGCAGGGTGGGACTGGGTGAGATGAGCCAGACACGCCCTGGAGCCAACCTCCCATGGTTCCTCCCTGGCTTCTGCAGAGTGAGTGGAATCCCTCTGGCAGGTGGGGTCCCTCGGCCTGGCCTGTGGGGATTAGGCTGAAAATGGCTCTCCAACATCCCCTGAGGGGTCCCAGAGTGCGAGAGGGCACTCTTCAAAGTTGCTGTTGTACAGTATGTGGAACACAAACACAACTGTGCAGTCAACCATATTCGGGGCTGACAGTGCCCAGCAATAACGTAACCCATGGCCAAAGGTGGAATTGTGCGGCCCCACAAGGAATCAAGCTCCCTCCTCTCTGGTTTCGGGGTGTCACCCGAGAATTGCTGCTGCCAAGTCACTGCAGCTCCTGCATTGTTCATCTGCCCCCTGGTGGTCAGTGTGCATCATAGCGACCAGTCATATGGTCAGACACTTAGCATATTAGCATATATATATATATGTTTTCATCAGGCAATCTTGCTAAACTCTGTTATTAAATCCCATACTTTATGTGTGGAATTGGGTTTCCTATATAAAGTCACTTCATCTATGAATAATGACAATTTCCTTTCCCCTTTTTAATCATTATTCATTTTATTTTATTTCTTCTTTCCCAATTGCTCCCTTTGGTTAGGCCTAAAACCTTGGCATAATCTTTGACTCTCTTCTTTCTTCAGACCCACATCCAATCCATCATTAAGTTCTATTGGTTCTACCTTTAGGATGCATCAAGGGTCCTACATTTCTTCCAACTCCATCCTAACATCCTTGTCAATACCACCATCACCTCTTCCCAGGATCATTACAATAGCCATCTTCCACCCTTGTGTCCCTTCAGTCTATTTTAAACACTGTAGCCACAGTTAGTCTATTAACATGTAAATCTGATCATATCATGTTTGTCTTCAAACAAAATCTACTTCAAAGAGATTATATCTATATTTATAAATCTATTAGATGTCTGAATATAGATTGACAAACAAATATAAGGTAATGTTAACAGGATTTTATGTTTATTCAATTCTTTGGTTTCAAAAAAGCAGTTTTTTACAAAAAATGATTCTATTTTATTAACAAGCATTGCTCACAAAGTTTCAGTGCTCAAAACAAATTGGGGACTTTATTGGGAATAGGTCTTTACTGTAGCTATTCTCAAAGATTATGCCAAGGTTTTAGGCCTAACCAAAGGGAGCAATTGGCACTGCCATTCATTGAGAAGGGAGAAATTTTGTTTAGCTCAGATTAGGAAGGAGGAAATATCAGGAGTTCAGTTTGGGAATGTTACATTAGAGATGACAAGTGGGAGTTGAGGTTCACATGTGAGTCTGGGTTCAGGCAGGATGTCTGGCCTAGATATATTAATTTGGTGATTGTTCACATGTAAAACATTTAAACCATGAGATCAGGGCAGTTAGAGGTGACCAGGCCGGCAGGGGAGGGCAGTTGGGGGAGCCAGCAGTCCCGGATTGTGAGAGGATGTCTGACTCCTGATCGGGCCTAAACTGGCAGTCGGACATCCCCCGAGGGGTCCCAGATTGGAGAGGGTGCAGGCTGGGCTGAGGGACCCGCCCGCCCCACCCCAGTACATGAATTTCATGCACCAGGTCTCTAGTCTATTAATATGCATTGTGGATCTCTAAAAAATCTCTAAAATGATCTCTATTATTATTTATCTCAGTCTATTTTCACCATGATTTACACTTATTTTACTTGTGTACTCAAATTTGTGTACATCTTATTTGTATTTGTTTACTAATTTATCTTCCCAACCAAACCATAAATTCTATCAGGGCAGGGAAGTATAACTGAGTTCTTCACCATTGCGCCTAGTGCCCCAGCCAGGGCATTTAGGAGGAGCTCAATCAATATTTCCTAGTGGATGAATTACTGGAGGACCATCTAGCACTGGAAACTACCACTCTCGAGTTATTCAGTTGTAGAATAATTCCAAAGAGGAACTTGTGTTAATACCTCTAAGCCACTAGAGGTCCATTTAATAAATTATTGCTGCCCTTCAGTGGAATCAATTACTACTTCAGGGACCTGAAGAGAGTTCTCAGAGAGCAGGTCATGACCTGGAAAAAAATCTTGGTAAATCATTTTTATACTTAGAAACTCCACCTGAAAAGCACTAGTAAAAAGTATAGTGGGATGAGCTGAAAGGCGTCATGCTTTGCACCAATACCAACAATTTTTAGAACACATTTCACTACATGAGTTTTTCCACCAAGGATATTTTCTTATTTTAATAGTTTAAGC